GAACATTTCAAATCCCAGCCTTGGACATTCCAGCAGGACTCAGCACCAGCTCACAAGGCAAAATCCACCATCGACTTCTGCAGAACTCACTTTCCAGACTTGATTTCCCCAGAAGAATGGCCTGCTAGTAGTCCTGATTTGAATCCATTGGATTACAGTGTGTGGTCCTACTTGCAGGCCAAGGTCTGCTGCAAGCCACACAAGAGTATCAATAGCTTGAAGCTTGATCTGCTGAAGGAATGGAATGAATTGTCGATTGATCAGTTGTGAAGAACCGTAAATGATTTCCCAAAACGTCTGAAGCAGGTTATTGCCTCAAATGGTGATATTTTTGAAACATAAAAATATGGTTGGTTTAGTTTTTTGTTATCTTTGCACTGGTCAAATCAGAAATTAAATTGGTCTTCATCAGAGAATGCTACACTTGATTAAAGGTGTCCAAGGACTTTTGAGTCACCCTGTATGATATAATATGATATAGAAACACTCTTATATCATAAATATAATATAGAGTGACAATCGCGGGATGGACACTTAATATATTCATGATACTTCCTTAGGAGCGAGTCAGCTTAGCCAAACCAACTCTGAAATAAAAATGAAACATAAAGGGGTAAATTGACTTAAATTGTAGAGAATATCTCGTGCATGGCACTGAGTCACTCAGTCTGCAGAATTCCTGTCCGACCCGCTTTCAAGGTTTTCTTGTGAGAGCCAGGATGAAAGAGGGAGGAGGAAAGAAGCTCTGTACTATATTCCCGGATGTGGGGATGATCTATAAATCACGGGAGAGAAAAGGCGTGCTGCATAGCATTCCCCACCAGATTCCATTTGTGAAATCGCCTCAGAGGAGCGACGGAAATGTTGATAAATGGTCCTCAGCACCCGTTGGCTTCAAATGAAAAGCTCCTCTCCCTAAGTCGACTTTATGGAGGCTTTATCCGTCGTCACGTCTCGTGGAACCCCCCCGTCCAGAGTTAAGATATTACGGAACGGGACGAAATAAGGGGAAAAAATGGAAGGAGCAAAGCTCAATGAGGCGGAAATGGAATGACCGAGACGAGACGAGAAAATATGATATTTCATGATAATGTCGAGATTATGTGTCTGAGACAGAGAGAAAATGTCTCCTTCTCTCCTTTCAACCTACAATCGACCAAACCTTCGCGCGGTCTCATTACTCATATCTTGCACCTGTCATAAAATCAGAAATGATGATAACCCGGCACTCACCCGGGTTCGATCACATTCGTCCTCTCGACGACCCCGACCAGCTTTGTATTCCTGGTACTGGGATATCACACACAACAAGGCATACACCTGGAAGAGCAGAAATAGGTCATGGCATGAAAACGAATGAGCGCAATGAATGCGAATGCGACATGGAAGGAAGCGTGGCATTATGGAACTCATTCATTACCCTCATAATCTGCAGTCATCAAGCCTTCTGCATGCCATAACCATTAAATTAATTGGTTTCTTCCGTGTTCATCTCGTTTGCAACGGCATTTCACTGAATGAGACAGAATCTCAGAGAAAGCACGGAAAGAAGAGGAAAATGATCCTCACGTTGAGCATGAAAGTGAAGAAGTCCAATGTGTAGATGACGGCCGAGATCGGATTGAAATAAAACTGGGAGGAGAAAAGAAAGAGAGAGAGTGAAGCCTTGTGACATTTTGTCTCCGGAAAGACTTACGGTCATGCATGTAATGACTACCGTGAGAACTGCGTGCCTAACTACCCTCTTTTGTATAAATATTGAATAGATCCAAGCAGAAAAATGGGTAGAGGCCAATCATTTATGAATACCGGAAATGATAGGCGGCACGAAACGGAAACTACATACCTGTCATAAGGAAAGAGAATATTTAATTAATTCTAATCTCTTCCATTTCTGCCATTATATGCTTTTCTTAGCTGCTTAACCGAGACGCCCGAAATACTTGCGTGAATCCCTCCCATGGCATGACCAGGAAGGTCCCATTTCAGTTTTTCAAGAGAGTTTGCATTTGTTTGCTTTAATTTTATCTCAAGAGCTAAAAAAGGAAGCGAGAGCTAGATAGAACTGGTTTCTTGCACTTTACACGTCAGCAGTGCTTTAACAAAAGAAAACTACTCATATGATGGGCAATTTCATTTCCGAAGTTTAGCAGCAACCGGCTCCATCAGAGCTAAGTCTCTTTTTAAAGCGTGGAGATTATATAAGACTTCTTGAAGTTGATCGCATTATTCAATATCTTGGAAGTGGAGGGTATATAAAAGAAAACTCCCGAGATTAATGCGTTCCTTTGAGCTATACGCTGATTGGAAAATTTCAAGAGTCCTCTAGTCTAAGGACTCTATCGAGGCGAAACGGAGTTCCCCCTTCGAATACTCAATTATGCCAAGTGCACGAATTCAAAAGTACTCCTACGATACCGACACTGAAGAGTTTGTTCCGCTTACTTTCTGCATGACGACGAGGAAGACGATATAGGCGACTTCCCAGACGTTGTAAGCTGCCACGTTGGCGACCCATGGAAGGAGAAGGAAACGCAGATTCTGTCAAGAAGGGAAACAAGAGGAAAGAGATCATCCTTACAGTCGTGTAGGAAGAAGAAGTGGAGGGAAAAAAAAGGAAGCTGCCTCAATGCCTCGTCTAATGCCCCCCTCTTCCCTCCAAAATGAGTTTCCCCAGATGAACGACATAATGTAAGCTGTAGCATGGAATGGGTGTGATTTGCATGGGAAGACAGCGGGGAACCTCGTTCTTATCATGAGATGGCTTTCGGATGATGTCAAACGGACTCACCCGCTGAAGGCCCATTATGAGAAGAAGCCCAGACAGAACTCCGGAAGCGGAGAAGGCCAGGTTAACGCTGAAGACGAACATCACATCTGGTGGGGGAGAAAAAAAAAGGGGGCGAAATTAAGGAGCGTGGCGGATGAGGCAGAAAAGTGCCACAGAGAGGGAAAAAGACGTCCCCGGAGAAATCTCGATCTCGGTTCATTACACAGATGAAATTCTGGTACTGGGCTTCTGGGGAAGAGAAAAAGAAACTCCCAGGCGAACCGGCGGGACTTCCCCGCCGAAACAAAGAGGAGAAGAGGAAGAAACAGATAAACGCATAGAAGGATAGAAGGAGGGATTTATTGGGAAACACTATTGCCATGTCTCCAGGGCTCCATTTCTTCCCTCTGCCCTTCCGTAATAAGTGTCACGAGGTCCTTGATGGATCGGCGGGTACTCGGGAAACGCGGAATACGAGCAAGAAATTGGGGGAGTCCTAATGGAATCTTTGACCCCTGCAGGAAGTGGCATGTATCCAAAAAATCCATTTTATCGGGCCCATCCGTCCATTCACGGGGCCAGGTCATCAAGAAACCCGCCCTCATTCCGGAACATGATAGCCTATCGCCCACGCGTGCTGCGGTATCGATATTTCTACAATGTTTCTCGGTCGGAGCATAAATCTCCGCAATGGGTCCCATCTTGTAGCAATCAGCGCTTCCGATAAATCTCTCTCGATTACGTTGAACATCGGTGAAAAGCATCGGGGCATCCGAGTGCATAAACACGCAACCGATTCTGCCTGGGAAGATGCTGAGCCTGAGAGGCCCGCTGCGCCCCCGACTCGAGGAGGCAGGCGGGCAGGCCGAGAACGCGGGCTGCGAGTATTCCCCTGCCTCTAACGCCGAATTCCATTTCCTACTCTCGCCCAGAACGGAACAAGTAATGTACTGCACTTTAATAAATGTTGACGATCGGATGCTTCACCACAGAGATCATTTTTCCACCCTAAGCTTACTCAATCGAACCGTTCATGTGACAGAAACAGAAATATGCCATCGAGAATTCGCTTCATTCACTGTCCGTAACTGTGTGTTTTTCAACGTGGAGCAATAAATTACCAAGAACAACAGGGAAAAACATTGAAACTTAGGTCTCTAACGACGAACTCAATAGAAATACACTGCAGTTTCTGGGCATTTAAAACCAAGTTGAAAAATTGGACCCGATATAAAAGCTAAATTTCAAATAAATGACAGCACATTTCATGGCATCAGCGGTAGCTTTGCAGAGATGGAAGCATAAGCAATCTTGGGATGCAAGAATTCTCTTGGTCGAACACTCCAGCGATTAGAAGCTGTTTCAAGAACTAAGCAGCATATTTTCTGTTCCCAATTTCCACGAGATTTTGGAGAGCTTTAGAGTGCCGTTTCCCGATGGACTACAGAATAAGTTTTAGACTTCTGCGGCAATCTGGCAGTCCGGTCAGTCGAGGTATTCCTTTCAGAGGATATGGAGCGGAAATGGAGGGGAGCCAAGCAATCTCATTCTAAAGGAAAACCGGAAAAGCCTAAAAATTCTACCCGCATTCTATTCGACGGGGAAGAAATTCCGAAAGATCCCTGTGGCAATCGATATCGAGATGTATTTGAACAAAGGCGGGGATGTGCATACATTCTCTTAATTCGGTCTTGATCATATTTGTCTACGGAAAAGGGCGCTGGTATCAGTCTCACCCAACACTGCACCAATATGCCGCATTAATCGCTACAAGGCAGTGACATACAGTGGAGGTTATCCATTAAAAAAAGGTTTACCTTCGCAGGTCAAGAGATGCACATCTTTCAGAAATCCTTGCTAGGCTCCCCTTCAGTTCGGTAGAGAAAGCAAACACCGTTGGCAACAGATTTCCTGTTCGATGTCTTCTATGTATATTTACGCACTCATGAAGTATTTAGGAAATGCTTCTTCGCTTAGTTCAAATATTTAGTACGTCGTAAGGGAAAGGATAGGAAAAGTAAATCAACCCCTCCTCTGACCTCGTTTGCTCACTAATCGAAGTGGATTACTGGCCCCAGAGGAAAGCAGAGATGTTTCTTCACGTTTCCGACAACCTGGACACATGGCGCTTCGTGAAAGGAAGGAAGGAGAGGGGGAAAGGATATTGACCGGATTGTCAGGGGTGTCATGAAACGGAATTGGAAGGGCATAGAAGGAATGAATTTCAGGGGTATAAGGAGGGGGCTTTGATTCCCCGAGATTGAGAGCCCTGCCCCTCACTTGGGAATTGTCCGTCTCTCTCTATTTTCTTTTTTTTTTCCATCCCTTGACCATACTTACCCTCACCATTGAAAAAAGAAAAAGAGCTATATTGAGGTCGTTCTATGGATTGCCTTCGCCCATTTCCTTGTCGGTGGAAAGTCTTTTCTTTCCAAGAATTCCGAAGGAGAGATGAAGTGAGGGTCGAAAAATAAGATATTCTTTTTTGGATTGCTGTATCAGATTCAACGTCACTCGATTGCATTCTTGCCAGAGCGACCTCTGCGTAAATTCTTATCAAGAACTATATATCATCTGTGATACATTATGAAGAATGCGAAATGAGGCTGCTGTGTCAAATGATTGAGGGCACTGGCTGGAGTGGACTGAAAGGTTTTTGGCGGTCAAGGCGGTCATGAACACGGCGGCCCACATCCATAATTGAATGAGAATGTGAATTGAGACTCATCCTGCTTGATTTTGCATGTAAATTACTTTTCTAATTTAGATCTAGAAAGTTTTCATCAAGAACTCATACTAGATTATACTTCCAATCATTCTGCGCATTTTTAAAATTAATAATTAGACTCCTTCTTCCCCTTTCGTTGGGAATAGTTTCGTTGGGAGAGACAGTCGGGGCCAATGAGTTTGGCATCACTCTGATGATTGAAAGGATTCGTAATGCCACTTTGGTCCCTGAATACCCTGATGACAATTACATTAGAAAAGAGAGACAGAGAGGAAGAAAAGAAGGTTTTCTCTCTTTTCTGAGAGGAGGGTCATCGACATTCAAGAGAATGGGAGAAAGATGGGCATCATTTCCTGAGGGCTGGAAACCCCCATCCATCCTCAACGAGCCTCTATCTTCGTCTCGCAGAAACCCTATACACTTAGACCCCACCCAGCATCTGCTCTTCCTTCTTTCTTCCTCTCCCTCCAAAAAAAAAAGAAAAGAAGTATGAGCTGAGTGCATCTTGGGGTCTGGTACCGACAGGATCATTGATCGACCTCAGTCTCCTCTCCCTCTTGAATGCGCTGGTATCTATCCACCCAACGAGTTCTGCTATCCATTTAAGAAATTAGGCTTTAACACGATTACCCTATATTTTCTCTGTCTGTCGTTTCTCCAACCTGTTCATGAAGGGAGAGAACGATGCAGATGTCGAAAATGCAACTACACTCTACAGAATTTACTTTCCTTTTTCCCTCTTTTTTTTTCCTCTCTCAGTTATCTGTCCATTCTAGAGCAACTCACCTTCGCCGTCCAAAAGATAGCTCTCCATTTTGGGGTCGAAGATCATCTCTTCCTCTGATCCGTTGGCCAGGGACGAGGCATTGGTGCGTGGGAGAGGAGCATGGATGTTATATCCCAGATACAGGCCCATGATAAGAAAGAAAACCTGAGGGGAATGAATACAGAAAACGTCCTCAATACGAAGGAATCCAATTAGCCCGTGCCTGGATTGCAATAATAGTAATACCGCGTCCGAGACTCCCGGGGACTTCCTGCCCCCATTTCCTACATCGCGCCTACGTATGTTTGTTCGGCGGATTCTTGTTTCAGTAACATAAAAACATTGGGCACAGAGAAAAATAAAGGCACTAAGTGCGGAATTCATACTCGACTTCATCTGACAGTCTCGCATGAAACCACTCGTGCAGGAAAATATGCAAATCTCTTCCCGTTTATATAGAGTGTGCAGAGAGCTAGAGTATCGATTTCCGTATCTTAGCAAGACATCATCTCCTGCCACTTTGAAGGAAGAAATATTGGGTCCATGCGAAAGAGCGAAAGGGGGAGAGAAAAAGTTTTTCTCTTTGTCTGATGCATGGTATGAGATCTGAAGGAGGGGGGCATGGAAGATGGAAGGGAGAGATGTGCCTGGGTTGACAATGAGGACCCAGCCTGATATGACCCTATAGCATTACATGACTGGGTTCCTCATTCCTCTAACCTTGCTTGCTTTTTCATCTCCATCTTATTTGCATATAATGGGACGCTCTTTCTGATGGTTCCGATGTCTGCGTAAGAGAATAAAACGAACAAGGGCGCTATGTCCTTTGAAAGGCGGTAGGCAAAACCTGAAGTTGTGATATTCGGGGATGCGGAGGAAAACATGGAAATTTAAGACTTAACCTGACAGGAACACCGGAACGGAACGAGTCGAGGAAGACGGATTATAAGCCACGAGGGAGAAGGAAATTCTTTTAAAATTCATCCCCAGCACAAACTTGATCAGAGGAAGTCATGGGGAAGATGAATTGGGGATTTCAGAGACGAGACAAGACAACACACGAGGCGGGGTCTCCCCATAGAATAGGAAAGGGAGAGAGAGAGACATGGCCGATATATACAGCAAATGGGCAAGGATCCAAGAATTTTCCCTTCCTTCCTTCCCTTTCTCCAGATCCCTTGGCTGGAACCTATCGGGCTTATTGGTCATTATACCCCTCTTTCCCTATTCCCCCATTTCTTCGTATTCCATTTTCTACCCCGGAGGAATGGGAACAAAAATGCAAAATCTCTAATCAGTTCGTATTGAAGGGAAACCATTTAATGATCCGGGACTTTTTTATGACGAAACTTTAGGAAATCCGGATATCTCCTAGGAAAGAGTAGCTTCTTATCAGTGTGAGGGGGGAGACGAAGGCGTATATCAGGGAGGCTGAGAGGGACGGAGAGAAAGAGAAAGAAAAGGGGAGAAAGGAAATGGAAGGGATGATAAATGGTTTCCATGGCACGAAAAGAAAGTTTCCTTCCTCTTCGCTTCTTCTTTTCACACTTTTTTGGTTCTTATTATGCAGAGGCGACACCCACACGCCCACCTCTGTCCCTTTTAATGTTATCTTCCTGTCCGCGAATATCTGAAAAGAAACTGTAATGCATCCCTCGTTCTTCATCAATGGCAACGTGCATTGTCTGCTAATGGTTGTATATTATGAGGTATGGAAGCGTGGAATACGAGGAAGGAAATGTATGTCAGGTTCTATCTCCGTGATAATGGCCTCCAGCACGCGTGGTTGAAGCCCTAATGCCAGGGGACAGGACAACCCACCCCGTTCTTCATCCATCAGTCTGCTGCTGTTTAATCCGCAGCACCTTCATCTAATCACACATAATGACCCCTGACATTCACGCGAATGCTCTCTACTCATTATGGGATGTATACACCCCTTTCGTCCCACTTCCGTCTCTGGGTTCATAAAAGGTTGCAGTCGGCAGGGTGCAAGCTTTTTCCGTGCATCGCGAAGGGGGGGATTTCACAAGGATTCGGTTTCGAAATATTGTACTGCAGATTAGCTTCTTTATTGTGTTGAACTTCCATCAATAAAAAATATTCCTGAGGGGCAGGATTTAATACACTTGCAAAATATGCCTACTTAACATGAAGGCATGGGTTTCAATCACCGTCCTTGATTTAACTTCTGAGCATGAAAGGGGATGACATGGAAAGCACAAAGAAAGAGGCCCTGCTGACGAACTCCTCAATATCTTGGAAACTGGGGTTCGCTCAGGAGGGAATTGCGTATCATGAAATTCTCATTGACCATTGCCACTCAGTCACAGAATTCCCGTCACACATCAACACGACCATTTACTTTTGAAATTCCCAGATAGACTTCGCCTAAGTATTCGGCAATGGGAGAATGCACTTCCTTCCGATTGAGGGAACTCGTTGATCCCTATCCATGCTCCAAATCTGACCCTCAGCCCATTAAAAGTTTCCACTTTGAGCAGATATAAGGGCAACCCCCCACGAGTAGAGTTTGGGTCCCATCGGAAATTCTGATTCCTCGACTCTAGATGCGAATGGCGATGGAGGATTAGATTTATAGGACTCAAGGCGGGTGATTTGAGCAATGGGGCGAGATCGAGGGAGATATATCTATGGAAGGGAGGTGATGTATAGGTTGAAAGACGGAGCCGACCCTTCTCCGAGACGATGGGAGCAATTTGTATGAGAGAAAAGCGCAATTGGCAGTCCTATGATTCACTTAAGAATATAACCCTCTCCTTCTCTTTCCCGGAATCCCTCTCTCTCTCTCTCTCTCTGTTCGTCGTCCTCTATCAAGCCCATCAATATTCACATGGCAGGTGGGTCTGTCCTTTTTTTTCCTCTAGAGGATCAAATGGTGAGTCGTGCCAAGAAGTTGAAGAGATCATTCCTTCTGATATGGCCTCTCTTCAGGATGTAATTCGATTAGAGATCTTGGCAGGGAGGCTCTAGCGGAGAATTACCAACGAGAGAGAAAATTTTTCATTCCGTGGTAAGTGATCCTGTCATTTTTTTGGATCCGGATTGACCAAGGAACTGAATTGTCATGTCGCGAGGACGACGTCCTCTCCTTTAGTATATACAGGATGTGGAGATATGAGAGGAGTATAACTCAGATCTTGATGCAATCGTACATCTTCCGGAAAAATATGGCTACTTTTCTCCTAAATGGAGATCAAAAGGAAATGAGATATGCAGGGGATCGGGGGTACTTTTCTTTTAAATGGAGACCTAAAGGAAATAAGATACGCAGAAGATCGAGATTCGAATTTCCTTGACCCGCTTCCAGATGGTTTCATACTGCACTCCCCGAATGAAAGTGGAACGCAGTTTCTTTCCTACGTCAGTCTGGCGACTGCGATATTAGAAAAGGCTGAGACAGACCGTGGTGTAAGCAGCGGAGACATAGCATCCCGTGCGGAGAGACTTCCAACAGCAGCAGGACTTCATCAAAGTCATGTTGAGAGACCTACGTCTACCAACATGTTCCTTAGGCACCGAAACTTGTGAAGCTGTAGACCTGCTCCGGTTGTGGAGAACTGAAGGGAAGGCTTCCCAAGCCGGGGCCTTTCATACTCCCCTCTTCCCGCACCAGTCGCTCTCCTTGTACCCCGGGGCTTTCCTCCCCTTCGCTGCGCATGATCCCTCTCCTTGCGCCTCCCCCCACTTCCAATATTTAATTCTACATGGGAGAGTAAAATCATGGAAATGTCCACGGAAAACAACGGGTCTTCTCCTTGTATTGCCCTAGTTAGGGGGATGGGAATGCACCGATCGAAGATGGGATCGAAGGAAAAGGAGCATCCAGTCATTTATCTTGTCTTCCAGCCCAAACGCCGAAAAAATAGCTCCAAGGAGAAATCCGATCTGGAACGCGCGAAGAAATGCTGCCAAAAAAAGGGGGCAAAAACGACGATGATGATGAATAATAATTGAAGCAAGCCCAGACAGTTAAGTATTGAGATCCCCAATTTCATCACGAAATGGGAATCGACCATACAAGTTAGGCAATTATGGAGAGTGGACTGCCCTCATTACTTTTTTATTTTGGGATATCAAAGCAATGCATCTCAGCTGCCGAGAGGAAACCATGATGGGTCGTTAGCTTGACCCCAACATCGATTCTCTTACCGGGTTTATTACCCACTGCCTGTCTTCGCTCGTGCCATAGGCCAATCAACTTTTTGCATCCCGAGCGACTCCAAAACACTACAAGGAAACAGCACGGAAGTAAGTGTGATGTATTGTCGCAACGTTTTCTTCATGTTATTGCATAAAGACGATCGATCTCGATATTGAGAGGCAAGGTCCATTGCCGTCAAGTTGTTTGCAAGGGGAATCCCGGGGAGCTCTTACGAATTATTGGCTGCATTGTCGGAAACCCTTACCTCAAACAATAGGGATGTTATTCTTTCTTTCACAAAAGCGTTTTCAATTACGACGGACCCCAGCAACAATAACGGAAGAAGCCCCGAGAACCAAGCTATTGCACAATACTCGAGCTTCACAATCTATCAACCTCCCAATATATGAGTAGCATTTCCATTGCGCAACGTCACAGCTACAGCTGTTTTCCTTTTTTCACCATTTTTCTTGCGGACTTCGCGCGACAGTACGAATATCTCAGCAAGACAAAAAAGTGAGACTTTCTCTTAAGGAGAGCAAGATATTGAGAGATTTATCTCTCTCGGTGGTACGTGTCCATACGGATGGAGTTTCAATGAAGCTCCGAGAATGGAACTGACATCTATAATCACCGGGCTTTCTTACTTTGTCAAAACGGTACGTCTTCCTCAGCGCCTATCGTTTGACAGGTGGGATTTCTCATTGAATCAATGTGAAGAAAATTCAAAATTCTCTCGTTTCTCACCAGGCACAAAGATCAAGAGCAATTGAATTATTTTAAGCTTAAACAGGCCAGAATTAGCGCTCATATTCCGCGAGCCTGCCTTACAAGCTCCTCAGATACACAGCGCAAGTAAATCTGCTCCGATGGAGAGAAGCATCTGACCGTAAGAAAAAATTAAGGGGGGAGGGGAAGAGCATTTCCCTTCCTTCCTTCTTTAGACTTCCTACCCTTTGCTGAAAGATCCTTTGTGCAATGTTTTCCCAAATAAACTAGTGATACTTCGCCGCTACGAGACATTATGGAGCACATTTGAGCCCATATTTCCTTCCTACCATCACCCCCACTCATCTAATATTTCTTCTAAATCAGCTTTTGTCAGGAACAGATACAGCGGCAGAAGTTTGAGCCATTTTATCCTTAACGTTGACTGCAGCTCTCTGTCTTGCTTGCTTCGTTCTTGTTGCCTCTGATTGTCTTCACTATTTTTTTTTATAAACTCAATTTGTTTGAATAAGGAAAATTCTGTCTTAATAGCTCATCCACGTTAAATATTACCAGTCATAACAAGAAGGTTTATGACTGGCATTGAGGAGAAGGAGAGGCAGGAAGAAGAAAAAATAAATAAATTTACGGAAGGGGAAAATGGAAGCAGTGCTGCGTGGCCACTAAAGGCAGAAATACGAAACTCCATTTTTTTTTCAAGAGGGGGTCATGATTACTCATTGGGTGACATGCACCAGAACAACTCATCTCGAATTAGCTTAAATTCTTTTGGGAATTCTTTAAACTTAGTTAATTCTATTCCCATTGACGCCTGTTAGAATACTAGATTACAATCAAAGTCAGGGTAGAATCGTCAAGAGGAAGCTTTACCTATCACAACGTCCAATGCAAGGTAGAGGGTTAATATAATAAGACAGGTCGACCCCTCATAAAGATAGATGTTTTTGAGAGAGCATATCCACCTTATGCCTAGTTACAGCTACATTGCTCCCTTTTTATATTGTTCTCGGCCCAGTTTAAAGTCCCACCCGGAATTTCTGCAGCTGGACCACACAGCAACAACTCAGAACCATTCTAACTAAGAAGCAGCTGGAAAATGTTATATCCAGGTTGGTTTCCAGGTGGATTGTAACTGGTTTTGATCCAGCTGGGATTTTAAACTGGAGATTCTCTAGCTGGAATAGGACTGAATTCACAGCTACAAAAAAGAAATTTAGCACCCCAGTGACTAATCGCCTTCCATTCTTGGGCGTCTAATGAGTTCCCAGGAAGAATGGAAAAAACCAGATTAATTCTTCTATCGTCCATTCGTCATTCATTGACGATAATGTACCAGGTAGACGAGAAGGACTGAGAGAAAAGGAATGATTCCTTCTGATCTATGGCGCTTCAAGACATGTGTCAAAAGGAATCGACGTCCGTCCGGAAAACCACTTCATTCAAGGATTATTATTGATGTGGTTGCATTCATCCAGTCATCCAGATACTCATCGTTCGACTTGCCGTGACGTGGACTAATGGAAAGGGACACTATGAACTCGACCTCGAACTTCTGGAGAGGAGGAGGAGGAGGCGAGAGTGAGGACAGAGTGTTCCAGACTTCGCTACTGTCTCCAAGTGTCCGGACTAGGGTCCCGTTCATAATCTGGAACCTGGCTATTTCTATTTTTCTGTTGGGGTCGAGTACCTAAGTGCTGGTTGAAGCCAGAAGGAACAAATTTCAGAAATAGCAAGGACGAGATTGGAGAGTGAGCGTGCCCGTTGGAGCCCAAGCAACCCCTTTCGATTTCATGGTGTTAACCGTGATTTCGACTAATCACGAGATAAGGTGCGAGCGGTGCTACTTCGAGGGTGAGCTAGTTTTTGTTGATCTTCTCTCAGAACTTCATTATTGTTTTGCGAACTGAAGCTGTTGCCCTCGCTTGGTTGTGCTGAGGACATTAGATCATTGACTATTTATATCTCTGGTATTCTCTTGTACGTGTATTTGAAACTTTATGTTAGGTAGTAACATTAGAATAAATATAATTTGTGTGAAGCCTGATTCACAAAGGAATCCTTGCCTAAGGTAACCGATTCCGTATCGACCACTACGAACCTTTCCAAAGGGAACAAATTCTCTCAATCAGTAACGATAAGGCAGTTTGCCAATAAGATCATAAATATATCTTGTATTTAGTCTTAACGCCATGTCAGTGTATCGATCGTTACGGAAACAATGAATGACACCGTTCTCATTCCAATTTTTAAACTCCAGACGAAAACCAGCCTCGATCCAGCTTTTCTTTTAGTTGTTTCCCAGGTAGAATGGGTCTACATTTCCAGTTCTGGTGCAGCTGGGATTTCGAGCAGGGAGAAAAGGGAAACAAATGCTTATATTTATACCACGAGAAGACCTCCGTTGACTAGCGGCCCGTGTTTAGGCTATGGATGATTCACCCGTGCCATAAGACAGTTGTTTTCCTATCAAAAAACCATTTTCTTGCCCCGCGATGCATCGTGCTTCTCCATCTTCCCAAATATTTCATAAGCCGTAAATTTTTAATGAGTCATGTACATGCCAGGAGAAAAATGAATCGATGGGAGTAAGGTATGGGCGTACCTGATATGGGAGAGTGTTACTATCCCTTACGAACCATCCACCTGCCAAGTGGATTTGGAACCAGGTGATGGGGTATTTCTTAGGCGTAGTTCCACCTGTTGGCGCGATACGTGTGGTGTGGGACAGAACCTTCCTCCCCATTTCCCCCGCCGATTGCAAAGGGCGTTGCAGCTATTGAGTTGTTTTTTTGTGTGTGTGTGCGATGCGAGACTCCAATTTATTTTTGAGATGTCTCTGATTCTTTTCAAATAGATATGACCGCGAGAAGAAATGGATCAATTGAGAAGTATATATATTCACTTCTCTAAGCTCTAAGCTCTAAGCTCTAAGCTTTTCGGAAACCAAATCCGAGGATCTATCTCGTCTGAGCCGTCGATATCGGAAAGATTTCAGAAGATATTTCGCATATTTCCTCAAAGGTCTGAAGAGCAAGAAACTTCTTTAAGTGTACATGGAAAAACCGCTATAGTATTTCCACGAGCATTCTTCGAATGTCAAGATATTCCCTCATCTTTTTTTTATGCTAGCAGATACGGTAATTTCCGCGATTGCGATCATAGCCAAAGGTCCACCCTTCGCCAATGAAATTACCGACATAGGGGAGTCTGACAGTATCGAGAAACTGCGTCTTGCAGGAGAGTTTCAGTTGGGTTGAACTTTGCGCATCCAAAATATAAGTTTACATTTTTGACCCTGTAAGGTCTACGGGTGATATTGACAAACCGATATTAGCGTAAATTTTGAATTAAAAAGAGAAATTTTATTATCGTCACATTCACGATCGAACATTAGCAAGAACTCAGCATGAAAGAGAACATTTTTTAGTGATCAGTTTAATGCCGTCGATTCACAACTTTATAGGATGCAAGTGAACTTCAACGCATGTTACATGTCCAATTAGAGTCATTCCCAATTAAGCTTGCTCGTGGATGAGTGGCTAATTACTTTCCTGGAAATGGATACATTAGGAAAGGAAGTTAAGAAAGTTTTTCTTTACTTTCAGCATGAATATGCTGGTGGGACGAGGAAAAGCACGGGGAACGCAGTAAAGCAGATGACACGAAAATCGACTCACTCCCAATCCAAGGATGGCTTTTAGCAAGCAAGGGTTTTTGTATTGCTGGCTCCTCTGCAAACAAAAGGGGATTTTTTTTTGGAGAAAAGAAACACAGGAATAATGACGACG